TATAGGTGAACCTGCGAAAGGATCAATGTCGATGTCTGCCCCGGCAGGCAGCAGCGAACTCGTGACCCAACGTACGAATGCCGCACAGCCGTCCATCGAGACAGAGTGGGCGTCCCAAAAAACTCATGCACGGATTTTCGTGAATATGTAGTCATAAAAAATGTATTTTCTGCGATGCACGTCGCGGCCAAAAATCGCGAACGATGACCTTGTCCGGGGTTCACGGTCCCGTTGTCCAGCCGTATATTGCGAACGGGGATTCGCGCACGGGCGCCGACGGACCCGCATCATCGCGAGAAGTCCATCAAGCGTTATCGTTTAGAGAAAAGAGAACTCGTAACAAGGATTCTATAGGTGAACCTCCGAAAGGATCATTGTTGATGTCTGCCCCGGCAGGCAGCAGCGAACTCGTGACCCGACGTACGAATGCCGCACAGCCGTCCATCGAAACAGAGTGGGCGTCCCAAAAAGCTCCTGCACGGATTTTCGTGAAGATGTTGTCATTAAAAATGGATTTCCTGCGATGCACGTTGCGGCCAAAAATTGCGAACGACGACTTTGTCCGGCGTTCACGGTCCCGTCGTCCAGCCGTATATTGCGAACGGGGATCCCCGCACGGGCGCCGACGGACCCGCATCATCGCGAGAAGTCCATCAAGCGTTATCGTTTAGAGAAAAGAGAATTCGTAACAAGGATTCTATAGGTGAACCTGCGAAATGATCATTGTCGATGTATACCCCGGCAGACGGCAGCGAACTCGTGACCCGACGTACGAATGCCGCACAGATGGACATCGGGACAGAGTGGGCGTTCCAAAAAACTCATGCAGGGATTTTTGTGAATATGTAGTCATAAAAAATATATTTCCTGCGATGCACGTCGCGGCCAAAAATCGCGAACGACGACCTTGTCCGCCGTTCACGGTCCCGTCGTCCAGCCCTAAATTGCAAACGAGGATTCGCACACGGGCGCCGGCGGACCCGTGTCATCGCGAGAAGTCCAACAAGCGTTACGTTTAGAGAAAGGAGAACTCGTAACAAGGATTCTATAGGATAACCTGCGAAAGGATCATTGTCCATGTCTGCCTCGGCAGCCGCTGCGAACTCGTGACCCGACGTACGAATGCGGCACAGCCGTCCATCGAGACAGAGTGTTCGTCTCAAAAAACTCATGCACGGATTTTCGTGAATACGTAGGCATTAAAAATGTATTTCCTGCGATGCACGTTGCCATCAGAAATCGTGAACGACAATCTTATCCGCCGTTCACGGTCCCGTCGTCCAGCCATATATTGCGAACGAGGATTCGTGCACGGGCGCCGACGGACTTGCGTTATCGCGAGAAGTCCAACAAGCGTAATTGTTTAGAGAAAAGAGAATTTGTAACAAGGATTCTATAGGATAATCTGCGAAAGGATCATTGTCCATGTCTGCCTCGGCATACAGCAGCGAACTCGTGACCCGACGTACGAATGCGGCACAACTGTCCATCGAGACAGAGTGGGCGTCCCAAAAAACTTCTGCACGCATTTTTGTGAATATGTAGTCATAAAAAATGTATTTCCTGCGATCCACGTCGCAGCCAAAAATTGTGAACGACGACCATGTCCGGCATTCACGGTCCCGCCGTCCAACCGTATATTGCGAACGAGGATTCGCGCACGGGCGCCGACGGGACCCGCGTCATCGCGAGAAGTCCAACAAGCGTTATCGTTTAGAGAAAAGAGAACTTGTAACATGGACTCTATAGGTGAACCTGCGAAAGGATCATTGTCGATGTTTGCCCCGGCAGACAGCAGCGAACTCGTGACCCGACGTACGAATGCCGCACAGCCGTCCATAGAGACAGAGTGGGCGTCCCAAAAAATTTTTGCACGTATTTTTGTGAATATGTAGTCATCAAAAATGTATTTCCTGCGATGCACGTCGCGGCTAAAAATCGTGAACGATGACCTTGTCCGCTGTTCACGATCCCGTCGTCCAGCCGTATATTGCGAACGAGGATTCGCGCTCTGGCGCCGACGGACCCTCGTCATCGTGAGAAGTTCAACAAATGTTATCATTTAGAGAAAAGAGAACTCGTAACAAGGATTCTATAGGTGAACCTGCGAAAGGATCATTGTTGATGTCTGCCCCGGTAGACAGCAGCGAACTCGTGACCCGACGTACAAATGCCGCACAACCGTTCATCGAGAAAGAGTGGGCGTCCCAAAAAACTCCAGCACGGATTTTCGTGAATATGTAGTTATCAAAAGTATATTTCCTGCGTTGCACGTCGCAGCAAAAAATCGCGAACAACGACCTTGTCTGCCGTTCACGGTCCCGTCGTCCAACCGTATATTGCGAACGAGAATTCGCGCACGGGCGCAGACGGACCCGCGTCATCGCGAGAAGTCCAACAAGCGTTATCGTTTAGAGAAAATAGAACTCGTAATAAGGATTCTATAGGTGAGGACAGAAACGACAACGTGGACATGGTACGTGGAACCAAGGGAGTATAAACTAATTTTATAAACGAAGTAAAAATTTTAATATAAATGAAAATATTTGTTTTACGAGAAATAAAATAGAGAAATAAAAAAGAAATAGTAGACATACATGATGTATTATATTACTCCGTCCGTCCCACATGCCATGTCCACGTTGCCGTTTTTGTCTATCCCACATACCATGTCACTTTCATTTTTTGGAAAATGATTATACACTTTAATCTCATTTTAAACTTTTTAATTTTATTTAATTTTATTTTATTTTAATTAAACTAATTAGTTATATTAATTTTAATTTATAATTATTTATATTTATAGGATAATTATTTTTACTAATACATTCTTAATTATCTACTAACTACATCTCTCCTAAAATACCGTGTCTACAGTGTAGTAGATACGGTATGCGAGACGGAGGTAGTATATACCTATATAGTTAATTAAATTAATTTATATTTGTTAAATATTTTTAATTTAATAAGTTTTATCTAAAATAAGAAAATGTCAATTGTTATGAAATAAACAAAATATATATATATTAAATGGGACGAATGGAGTATTTAATTTATACTATACTTCATCCGTCTCAATTAAAATTACTATTTTTACTATTTTTGTATGTCTTAATTCAAACTTTTTTTTTCCTATTTTAGAAGAAATAATCATATATTAATGTTAAAATACTTATAAGTTTTTTTTACTTAAATTACAAATATAAAATTACACTTATAATTATTTTTTTACATGAAATCAAATGATAAAATATTAAAAATCTATTACATTTTTACTGACTAATAAAATAATATTAATTTTTAATTTACTATAAACCACAAATAGCCCTTTTAATTTGGGACAAAAAAATATTTTAAATTTAAATTAAATACTCCCTCCGTACATCACGAATCTATTCATTTTGCTATTTTATTCCGTACCTTACCGATATATATATATGTTTCCCTTTCTTTTTAGTAATTATAATTTCATTCAAATATAAAAATACTTTTATTATTCATATAATATTACACAAATAAAATTAAATAATAGTATAAATATTACGGGTATGATAGTCCCTATAAATGTCAATGGCAAAATGATCCATTTTCCTTTTTTTGTATGATGACTCATTTTTATTTTTGGTAATTTTATCAATTTTAAACATACTTAACACATATAAATCAATTTAATTAAACTTCTAACATCTTTACACGTAGGACCAACTCAAAACTCATTTATTTTTTTTATCTCTCTTCTCAATTAACATAATTTTTTTTATCTATATTTAAAACTCCTCATTTTTTTATAAAATTAATTTATGGTAATGATATTATATAAAATTTTATTATCTACAAAATGATATTTATATTGCATATATGTTTTCGAAATATAATCTTAAAATTTTTTAAAATACCAATAATATTATTCATATAAAAAATAATAATCTAATATCATAACTTATTATTAAAAATTTACTAATATACACTATCTAAAAAATCGTGTCTTTAATAAAAGGGTTCATTCCTCGCAGGACGGAGGGAATATAATATTGATAAGATTAATTTAGATTTATTACCTTTATTTTTACTATATCATAATATAATAATATTATTTCTAAAACTCCGTGTAAAAACTAAATAGATAGATAAGTATGAGACAAATAGAGTATTAAGATACTAAAATCTATTAGGGTATGTTTACTTGAGGGATTTGATTTTGAATTTTATTATTTTAATTTTTTTTTTAAAAAAATATCAAATCAAATATTTATTTTTTATTTATTATATTAATTTAAAATTAAATTATATATTTAGGGTGTGTTTGTTTTAGGGGTTTGAATTTTGAATTGAAATTTGAATAGTAAGAATTTTAAATTTGAATAGTTGTATAATGTGATATAAATAGGTATTGATGTGATATTTTGAATATAAAATTAATTTTTAGTATAATATAAAAAATAAAAAATAAGAATTTGATTTAATGTTTTTAGGGAGAAATTTTAGATGAATAATAAAATTTTATCAAACTCCTACAAGCGAACACACCTTTAAAATATCATATTAGTATATATTTTATATAATATCAAATAATTATTTTAATTCAAAATTTTACTAAACACGCCCTTAAATATAAAAAATAAACGAATAGATTTATAATAGACTGAGGGAGTATTTAAAAATAAAAGTTCAATAAGTACAAATTTACTTTGTTTGTGAAAGGTCAACTCTGCCTCACTGGCAGCCATTCAATCAATCAAACTCTCCTTTTCTCACCTTTGTTCGTATCGGACGGCCCATAATTGCTGCTTTGACTTTTTGCGGCCCATCGTCATCAATTCCAGCACCGGTTTGCCCGTTAACCCGTCCCCACCGCCATTAATTATAGTTGGTCAATACGCTTCTCCGTATCGTCCTACGTGTCATCATTTCATTGGCTATTCCCTTTGACGTTAAGCACCCCATTTTATTAATAACAAAACAAATATTATATTATACATATATATATCAATTACATAAATATATCACTTTGACCCTCTTCTCTCTTTCTCCCTTTGTTGTTAAATGATTTGCAGAAAATGGCTGTGGATTTGATCTCCGGCTACAGCTTCGCGGCGAAGATGGAGGAGACGGCGGCGAAGGAGGCGGCCGCCGCCGGAGTTCAGAGCGTCGAGAAGCTAATAAAGCTGCTCTCCGACGCCCACCACCGGAGCTTCTCGAAGTTTCCGGCCGCCGATTACCAGGTCGCGGCGGACGCCGCCGTCCATAAGTTTAAAAAGTTCATTTCTTTGATAGACCGGACGCCGCGAACTGGTCACGCTCGGTTCCGCCGTGGCCCGGTTTCAAAGCCTGCGAAGAAATCACTCGAACCGGCCGGTCCGTTGAAGGGCGAGGAGAATGGCGCCGGCGCCGGTTCGAAAATTTATTGCCCAACGCCGGTTCAACGGCTGCCACCGTTACCACCACCGCCGCCGCCGCCGCGGAAGGAGTCGTCGACAACGATAAACTTCGCCACGCCGGCGACGTCGTTCGTCTCGTCGTTGACCGGCGACACAGACCCGTCGATGTCGTCGGGTTTCCAGATCACGAATCTGTCGCAAGTTTCCTCCGCCGGACGGCCGCCGTTGTCGTCGTCGTCGTTGAAGCGGAAGTGCACCTCGATGGACGAAGGCCACCCCGGCGGTTCCTCCCGCTGCCATTGCCCCAAAAAAAGGTAAAATCCCCAAATCAAAATCAAAATCAAATCCCTAACCGTAACCCTAATTTTCAAAATGGGCATAACCAATTAATCTCAAAATCCCCCAATTTCTTCAAATTCAGGAAATCCAGAATAAAGCGAGTCGTAAGAGTTCCTGCAATCAGCCTGAAAATGGCCGATATTCCGCCGGACGATTATTCTTGGCGAAAATACGGTCAAAAGCCGATCAAAGGCTCTCCTCACCCACGGTTAGTACTTTCTCCTCAAATTACCATCTCCGCCATTAAAATCGACCTCTGCAAAACCCTAAATCAACGAATTTCGAAATCTACAGGGGATATTACAAGTGCAGCAGCCTCCGAGGTTGTCCGGCCCGAAAACACGTAGAGCGGGCCTTGGACGACCCGACAATGCTAATAGTGACATACGAAGGAGAACACAGTCACGCCCTTTCCAATACAGAAACGCCTGGACCGGTTCTCGAATCATCCTGATCGTCCATATCATCCTCATCATCGGACGGCCCAGATTCGCCGCCATGGTCAATGCCAAGAAGAAACCGTAGTTAGTGGGGCCCATTATGTTATTTATTTTTGACTCTGCTTCTTTATTTTTATTTTTATTATTATTATTATTATTATTAATATTATTACATGCGTTGAATATATGTTAAAAAAAAACAGAAGGAAAGAAATGGGAGATTGCAAATGCAGGCTGTGGATATGGTGGAATTTATGGTTTAAAAAAATTTAAAATAATTCAATAATTGGGTTTGGACTTTACTTAAATTGTTTATTTATTTATTTCCATCATTTTTTTTTTAAATATTCAATTTAATTAAATTGGTCGCCTTCAAAATTGGCAAATGGGCAGTTTAGTAAAGCTGTAAGGATGGCCCACTCGTTTTTTTTTGGTTTAAAGTAAAGTCCCAATTCTCCAATAAAATAATTTTTATTTCTTTTTTCTCCAATAAAATAAATTTGGGTCAATATCATGTAGTAATAGTATAGTGTATTAAATAAAGGGTGGAAATTATAAATTGGTTAATACAGCAGACAAGTCGTGTGTGGGACGGTTGACAAATTAACGACGTAACTATTTTTAAATACTCTCCATCTACTCAATTTCAAACGGATATAAATAATTTTGAAGCCATTTTTTTTTTTAAATTTAAAAAAGACTATTAAACTTTTCGAGTCAATACTCATTTTGTTATTGTGTAAAAAAATATACAAAAATAGTACTCCATCATCCCTTGTATATGTATTTGTTTGTTTGTTTTTTCGCATGAAAATTTAGGAATATTAATATTATATTTAAGTGTAATATGAATAAAGTAAAAAAAAATTAAAATAACTTTATTAGTATACGTGTGATATAAAAGTAACGATATTTGTGTAATATATTATAAGTTATAAGAGTATTTTTAACGTTGGATTGGTATAAAGTACAATTTCTAAAAAAAAATTGAATACTGAAACATACCAAAAAAAGAAAATTGATTGAAAATTTTGAAAAATTTGAAATGAATATTATATTTTTACTTTGTTTTTTTGTTCTTTAAATAGGAGAAAATTTGAAAAATCTTCTTAAAGACACCCTTAATGTATTTTACCCTAATATAAAATTGTGACATTTCTTATTATGATTAGGGTAAATTATTTTTTTAGTCTCGTAACTGGATTTCCTTATCATTTTAGTCTCGTAAATGGAGCATGTCGCAAACTAGTCATATAAGTAAAAAAATTTCGTTGTTTTAGTCCTCCGGCGCAGAAGACATCCGCGTGGCTCGCCGGAGAATACATGTCCGCCGGATCAGCGACACCTGGCGGACATGTGGATTTTATTATTTTTTTTATTTTTTTATTTTTTTAAAAATTTATTTAAAATTTTATTTGCTTTTTTTAATTTTTTTATTTGGTCCAATTGGAAAAAAAATTAAAATAATTAAAATAAAAAATAAAATCCACGTGTCCGTTAGGTGTCGCTAACCTGGCGGACACGTGGCTTCCGGCAAGCCACGCGAGCGTCTCCGACGACAGATGACTAAAATAACGAAAATTTTTCACTTATGGGATTAGTTTGCGACAAACCTAAAATGATAAAGAGTCCAGTTACGCGACTAAAAAATAGTTTACCCTTATTATTATTATTATTATTATTATTGTTATTATTATTATTATTTCAAAGTAACCGATTAATATCTTATCAAGGTATATAAATTAAATGAAGGATGTGTTGGATTTTATGAATTTTTGGAGGGTTGACCAATTGTCAGAAACCCCAAATAATACATAAATTATTCCTGAATATATATGATCAAGGCAGGCATGCTCATTTCTGAATTTATTAATTAATTTATTTATTTTTTAGATTGGAAAAGATATATATTCCTTGTTTGTTGTATTTATGTGAATTTGATAATTGATAGTGAGCCCCTGAGTCTTGACCTTGTATTTATTTATTATGTTACATAATTATTTATTGATGCTGCAGCTGTCACATGCCCCAATCTTGAGAACAACCCCTACTATTTATTAATACCCACCCATCACTATATATATTATTAATAAATAATAGTATTAACTTTTATATAAAAAAAAATTAATAAAATATTATATCAAATATTCAAATTTTTTTATTTTATTATTATTATTATTATTATTTTTTTTTTTTTTGCATTTTAAAATTTTTTAAAAAGTATAAAAGCATTTGTCTCAACAGATTCATTTTATGCTATTAATATTGGGACTCGTTTTATTTATTTAGGGTGTGTTTGTTTTAGGATTTGGTAGAATTTATATTATTCCAATAATTTTTTTTTTCAAAAACATCAAATCATCAAGCATTTATTTTTTATTTTTTTCTATTATACTAAAATCAATTTTACATTCAAAAATTCATATCAATTATTATTTTTATCACATCATACAACTATTCATATTCAAAATTTTTATTATTTAAATCTCTATCCAAAATATAAACCCAAACAAACACACCTTAATGTGAAGCAATGTGAATATACCGTACGACAGTTTCCCTGTAACCTTGAGACTCGTTTGACTCAATCTTTTATTTATTATATTATTATTACTCTATCCGTCCATTTCTTTCTTTTTTTTTTTTTTTACATAATTTTAGAAATATTAGTATTATATTGAGATATAGTAGGAATAAAGTAAAAATAATTAAAATAATCTTATTAGTATGTGTGATACAAATGTAATGACATTTGTGTAATATATCTTAAATTGTAAGGGTATTTGTAATGTTAGGTAGATAATACAATTACTAAAAAAAAGAAATAGATACTTTGTTATGGGATGAACTAAAATAGAAAAATAGATACTTTATTATGGAACGGAGGAAGTATTATTATCCGTTCAAACCGAAATATTTACATAAAAGATGACTCAATGGTAAATTTATTCAGGTTAAATATACTTGTAAAATATTATTTAATTTAATTAAATTTATAATCTTTTGCATATAGTATTTATTCGAAAAAAAAATTACTTCATCCGTCTTGTTAAAAGGTTGTCATTTTCTATTTTCGTCCATCCCTAAACAAGGTTACCATTTCTTAATTTAGTAATTGTACTACCTACCTAATATAATAAATACCCTTCCAACTTACACTATATTACACAAATGTCATTCCTTTTATATTACACAATAGTAATAGGGGTATTTTTGTCTTTTCCATTACAATTTATTATAATATTAATATTCAAAAATTTACGTGCAAAAAGTAAACGGCAACCTTGTTCCGGAACGGAGGGAGTATTTATATATCTCATTGATATACAAATATTTATATATATATATTTAAAACTTCTTTATTTTTTTTATAAAATTAATTTTTATTTTAATTATAAATAAATAAACATATTTTTTTATTATTATATAAATTTTTAGTATTTATAAAATAATATCTATATTGTATATATTTTATAAAATAATATTAAAAAAATACCAAATCAAACACTTATTTTTCATTTTTATATTATACTAAAATCAATTTTACATTCAAAACATCACATCAACACCTATTTATATCACATCATACAACTATTCAAATTCAAAATTTTTACTATTCAAATCCCAACTCAAAATCCAAACCCAAACAAACATACCCTAAATTTACTTAACCAAAGAAACATATAAGTCAATGACAAGAAAAGTGATTTTATGATTTATTTTTTTTTAATCAATTGAAAAATCCACTCATTTGAGTGTTCCTTATTTTGCTTTATTTTCCTTTTATGTATGGTGTTGACTTAGATTAATATATTGTAATATTATATTCTCTCTGCTTCATATTTATTTATTCGTTTATTATTTGTACGAAATTTTAAAAATATTAGTATTATATTGGAATGTAGTAGAAATAAAAATGAAAAGACTAAACTAATTTTATAGTATAATATAAAGGTAATGACATTTATGTAATATATTATAAATTGGAAGTATGTTTGTAATGTTAAATATATAGTACAATTACTAATAAAAAATAAATATTTTATTATAAAACGAATCAAAATAAAAAATAAATAAATTATTAAGGGACGAAGGGACTCATGACATATCATTTTTGTTAAAATAGCATGTGTCAATTATTCACTCTCCCGGTCTGTCACACTAGGATGTGTTTGTTTGGGGGTTTGGATTTTGAGTTGGGATTTGAATAGTGTTGGGATGAGAATAAGGTGTTTCACCGGTATACTTTCGAACACCTATTCAAATGAGCCAACTTCTGAAACGTAGTTATATCACAGTTGTAACACCCTACTGCCAACTGAATGCATGCGGAAAATACAAAGCAGTAATGAGACAAGGGTTTGTTTACCCGGTTCGGATGTTGATGACTCCAAGTATGAACATATTCTTAGCTTCACGAAATTGTGTATTACTCGAATTTCTGTATAAAAACCATCATAATAACCGATTAATGACATACATTATTGATCTATATACTTGGCATGATCCAGAGTTCGTTGTTGAGATTATTAATGATTCTTTGCCATTTTTAAGCGGTAGTCTGGTGCCAGAAAAGCTAAGGCATGCGCCACCAGCGACAGCCACCTCCGCTCGTAAGCGCTCAAAATATCTCCTGGAAAAGACTAAGGCATGAGAGGCAAGCGGTAGTTTCCACCGCTCGCAAGCGATAGCCTCTCTCGCTTGCAAGCGACAGCCCATATACCCACCGCTGCAGATTATCATCAGATTCCAACTAAGTGTTCCAAGTGCAGCGGAAAAACCATTTCATTTCCAGCCAGCACAAGCGAGCCTAGCTGCGCTGATGCCCTCCAACTCTCTGACAAGCGAGAAAGATCTGAGCCATTGCAATTCAATGCAATCAAAGCAAGCACCCTGGGAGTTACGGCCAGCAACTGCTTCAACAGAATAACTACCAGCAACCGCCTAACTGCCCAGTGGTTGGAACCGCCCAGCAACTGATTGCAACCGTCCCGTTTAACCTGCTATAAATAGGGCCAGATATCTCTATATAAAAAAACTCGACAACTTCGATTTTGGAGTACTTCTAGCAATTACATTCTGCATTCCAGTCGTCTTCTTGTCTTCGAGAGCTCCAACCCTGTAAGAAAGTTCTCCACAGGAATGGCCAAGAGAGTAAGGATTTCCCTTCTCCCTTGGCCAAGTATTCACCGCTTTCAAGTATTCCACTCGGTCCCCGCTTCCGCTCATGGCCCGATCATCTGGTTACCGCTGGCACTTCATATTCCACCCTCACTTCGCTCGCTTCCGCTCATTCACTCTTATCGCTTTATTTACTGCTTTTAATATATTAGAAGTTTTGATCCGCTGCAAGAGGATCCTTTCATGCCATTTTCGTCGTTTTTTTCAAGATCTTCACATGTGAAATTCATGAATTAAAATACTTGTGTTCGACCTGGAAACTCATCAGTAAAAAGAGTATTAATAATTATGATAACTACTCAGGGTCTACAATCACATGATTTACTATATTTGATCATTTTCCTATATACATCACTCACTGATTTTCGAATATAAATTCCCTGTGGATTTGTACAAATTACGAAATGCAATTTTAGGTTATCAGATACAAACAATCCTACATCTAAGGGATAGCAATCCAGGAGAAGTTCACTAATCAGTGTTGATTAAGAACATAGACAACCACAACTCCTTCAACTCATCCTCCTAACATGGTTTACCTTGGAAATTTCCTCCACAGGCTTATGTTGTCACAAACTCGTGCCGACAACGACCACGGAGCAGAGTTGCTCAGAATCTGGACGCCTCTCCTAATCGGAACTCCGATTTCTCCTTCCTCCGACGAGGTCTCCGGCAGGATAAAAGTGTCTAGCACTCACTCAATACATGGAGAAGAGAAAGGTTGGGGTTGAGAGGATTTAACTCACTTTCTCTCACTATACTTCACTCTCAAAACCTTCCAATAACCACACTCTCTCCTCACAATTATCTATAAAGCCATCTTGCTTTGCATGTAAAACAAAACCAATTAAAACCCTTTGCACATAAATGGAATGATGTGTCTCTGCATGAAGTCTGTAAAAGGTTGACCACCCAAAATATCAATTCTTTTGTCTTATCTAAGCTTCTCCAATCGAGAAGAAAAGACCTAACAGTGTTGCAGACAGTCTGTTGCAGACAGTCTGTTGCAGCAACCTAATAAAGACAGGTTACTCCAAATGGAAACAATAAAAGGCAGCAGATAAAGAGATCGTACAGGTGCCCATATGCCAAAATAAGTTGGGGAATTCTTGTTCTAACAAATAGTAAAAATTTTGAATTTAAATAGTTGTATGATGTGATATAAATAGGTGTTGATGTGATATTTTGAATATAAAATTGATTTTTATTATAATATAAAAAATAAAAAATATGTATTTGATTTGATATTTTTGAGGGAAAAAATAAGATAATAGCGTATTTAAAATTCAATCCCCCAAACAAACTCGCCATAAAAATAATTGAATTAGGATCGGGTCCTAGTTGAATTCCAATTCATATATTATTCACATATATTTAATTACATTCAACATTTTGTGTGTATTTTATACATTTTTTTTTCCCAAAAAAATAGATTTTTTTTAAAAAAATACTCCTCCGTTCACCTTTATGGGTTATGTTTACCTTTTGTGTCATGTACTTAACATTAAAAATATTCTTATATTTGCATGAATTTTTATATAAATGTGCTTCTATTAGTATTAAAAGACACTAAGGTTGTGTTTGTTTGGGGGTTTGGATTTTGAGTTGGGATTTGAATAGTAAAAATTTTGAATTTGAATAGTTGTATGATGTGATATAAATAGGTGTTGATGTGATGTTTTGAATGTAAAATTGATTTTTAATATAATATAAAAAATAAAAAATAGGGGTTTGATTTGATATTTTTGGGGGGAAATTTTTGGATGAATAGTAGGATTTTGTTAAAATCCTACAAACGAACACACCCTAATAGAATTATCTTTTTAATTTTTTTAAATTTGTACTACGTTTTGATATAATAATTAATATTCAAAAATTAATACGCAAAAAGTAAATGAAACCTTAGGGTGTGTTTGGTATAGAGAAATGAGATCAAAGAAATGAGAATGGTCTCATTTCTCTTGTTTGTTTGAGTTAGAAAAACAAAATTTGAGAAATAAATCATTTCCGATTATCTATTTTCATTTATCTCATATATGCAGAGAAATTAGAGAAATAATATAGTGGTATATATTTTTTTAATTTTTTAAAATATTTTTTGTACTATCTAATTTTTATACATATTATTTTAATTTTACAAAAATCAAATTTAATTTATTGTTAAAGTATTTAAATTTTACTATTTTTTAAGAAATTATACTAAAATATAAAACATCGTATATAATTTATAATTTTTTTAAAAAAAAAAGTCACCAAAAATATTTTTCATGAATTTTCATTAGTTGAATTTTTTTTATCCAATTAATCATTTATTTATTGTTTGATTAATTCATATAGCTGCATTTTTTTTATACATTTCTCAATTGAATTCTCTATTTTATCAAACAAAGAGAATTAATTTTCATTCTCTATTAAATTCTATTTCTCTTTCATTTCCATTTTCTACTCTTATTTATCTGCAATTCTATTATCTATACCAAAAGGACGGAGGTAGTACTATATTACATCCATTTATTAAAATAAAAAAAAAAATCACTTACAAAACTACTTTCCCACATATTCCAATTATAAAACTAACATAACAAGCATACGAAAAAAAATAATAATAATAAATAAATAAATAAATAATATTCACTCTATCCCCTCATCCATTTTAGTACTTTTGGTTCAAATACAAAATATCAAATTTTTTTCTAACTAAAAATAGACCTCACTACACAATACTCTAGATTTTCTTGTACGGCACCGCCGGCGATCGCCGCCCCGAAATGTCCAACACAATCTCGAAAAGCTCGGCTTCTGACTCCATATCGGACGTCTCCGCCGCGCCAGCCCTACTTCCGGCGGCGGCATTGCTGCTGATTCTCGCCGTGCTTAGCTGTCTCCATTGCGAGTCAATTCTTCCGATGGAGAACATGTCGTCGGAGCCAAAAGATGTCGACCTCCCGTGATGATTAAAGATGCAAGGATTGGGCGATCTTTGCATGTTTGCCGCCGTGTATTTGAACATACATTGTCCAAGATTGACGAGAACCGCAATGTCCCCGTCGGAGGCGAGTGCCGGGTAAAGAGGATGCCCGAATTCCGGCGAGTCGCAATGAACTTCGTACACCAGATGTGAATCTACGGTGAAAAATACCCGCTTTTGCGACGGATTGTAGCCGCACCCGATCACTTGCCCGGCGGCTTCCCATCGTCCGCCTTTCCTCGGCCGCGCAAGTTTGTTTCCTACAAAAAATATAATGAAAATAAAAATAATTTTACTTAGATTTGATACGATTCTCAAAAATTATATTTAATCAAAAATATATTGTTGTAAAACATATTGAATCATTGTACCATTGGAAATATGAGATTCAGAGCGCATCCAGCGATGAAAGATTCTCATATCCATACTATAAAAATTAAGACATAATATTACAGGACATAGGCAATAGTCTACGTGATAGATAGTAAAAATATGTATTTTGACTTATCTATAAGTATAAAAATATTAATTTGATAAAAAATGATCGAATTAAGATAAACAATAAATTGACGGAATAAATGGTAAAAATATATATTTTTGCCTATCTATAAATATGAAAATATTAATTTGATAAAAACTGATCGAAGGAGTCAATCCATTTGATCAACAAATACAATTAATGACGCCTTTGGAGTTCAAGACCCCGAGGCTCTATGTGGCTCAGTTACTGCATAGTCTCCATACAACGTACACTTATATGCTAATGATATATAAAATATTAGTCAATTTTTCAATGTAATAAGATTATACCATCGAAAAATAGATCGCCGGCCGAATTGAAGCCTACGGATCCTCGGCGGCGACCAGGGATTTTTAGCGGCATAGCGCCACCGGGTATAAGCCCCATCGAAAACGAAACCTCGTTTTCAGCCGCATTGATGTTATCGTTGTCATTGTCATTTTCGCCTGGGACAATTGTGATCTCAAAATATGCCTCCGCCGGAAAAATCGAATCCGTCGATTGCGGCCCTGGCAACGGCAATGCTGCCCGGGTGACCGTTATCGCCCCCGCCGGAGAAATTTTCTTAATGCCAGGATTCAGCCTGACTCTCTGCATATAATCGGCCGAACCTTCCGGAAGCTCCCAACCGACCTCGGCGTTCCGGTAATTCACATCGTCGCCGGCGGCGAGTCGGAGCGACGGCGATGACGTCAGCTCCGTGAAAGCAAATCGTGGCCATCCATAATCCGTCGCTTCTCTTACGAGCGTCGGATTGTCTTCCCATTTGAAATAGACGCCGGAATTGTCGCCGGCGGCGATTGGACAGTGATTTCCGGTGGAATTCGTCGCCGCTGGGGAAGTCCGGCGGTGCTGCCGGAGGAGGAATAGGCGGCGGCAGATTAGGGTAATTGTAATTCCGAGCATTACTCCAAATCCGACGACGAAAAAATAATCAAACCATTGCTTCATTACTGCGTTTTCCGATCTCAATTTTCAAATCGTCGACGGCGACGGCGAGAGATGAGTTGGTGTTGTGTTCTTCAGTGAAGATTGATTGTGGCCATTAATGGAATTGAACGAACAGTTCGATAATGGCGGCAGCGAAAAACAGATAGTAAGAGATTTTATTGGCTTTAAAATTAAAGGCAATAATAATAATAATAATAATAATAATAATAATAAATCGCGTAATTCCCTACTAATTAAGAAAATTTTAGTAAATTTTTTCCATCATTAAATTTAATATATATATATTTTTTTAAAATTTTAAAATATTATATTATTATCCAAATTATCAATATTCAGATAGGTCGAAATAAGGTTTGGTTTAGATAGAATTTTTTAAAATTATCCACTCTCTACATTTGGAAAGGAAACATATGATTTTTACTTCCTAAAGGCTGATTTGGAATTTTACAGTATGATTAAAAAATAATATTATTTTCATCGAACTCTAAGAGTTTTATTTATTTTTTTATGTGTTGATATTTGATATTAATTATTATATCAAAATATAGTACAAATTAAGAAAAAATTGCAAAAATATTTCTATTAGTGTCTTATAATACTAATAAAATGATATTTGTACAAAAATTATACAAATGTAAAAATATTTTTAATGTTAAGTACAATGACGCAAAAACTAACTGCGATCCTTATAGGCGGACGGAGTAAATAGTATTTAATTAATTAGAGAAGAAAGTGCATAAAAAATTTGGTCATTTAATTTTATATATAAAGTAATTGTATGTATAACGATATATTTCAAATTTAAATAAAAATTAGAGGCTATTTTGATACCGTATATTGTTACTTTTTTTTAAAAAAAATAAGAAATAGATACTTTTGAGTGTGATATGCAAAAAATAGTAAAAATGGTATTTTGAATTGAGATGGAGTGGTATATGAAATTTAATCAATATTGTATTTTAATGGTGGTGACGATTCCGGTGAAATGTAGCACCGTGCTGATAGCACATCGTGTATTAACAGACAATACACAATATTACTACGGACAATACACAATATTATTATGGATAATATACAATATTACTACGGACAATACACAATATTACTACGGACAATACATAATATATATTAAGGGTGTGTTCGTTTGATGGATTTTGACAAAATCTCACTATTCATCAAAAATTTTTCCCCCAAAAATATCAAATCAAACACCTATTTTTCATTTTTTATATTATATTAAAAATCAATTTTACATTCAAAACATCACATCATCACCTGTTTATATCACATCATACAACTATTCAAATTCAAAATTTTTACTATTCAAATCCCAACTCAAAATCCAAACCCCCAAACAAACACACCCTAAGATAATACAAATACGACACTTAAACTAACAACACATGCAACAGTTGATTTTAACACATGATATTAATTCTATATAACACATGTTATAAGTATAAACAACAGCACATGTATGCGTGATATGTAAAATAAAAACATGTGTTATATGTAGTTTTTATCGGTGCAAATTAGAAAAATCTGTAACCCCTCCCTTTAATAATAGTTGATAGTATTAATATGTAAAGTAATGTGAGAATATTGATGTAAATAAGTATAAATGTGAAAATATTTGTAATGTGTAGCAAGATTCATTAATACTTTAGAAAATAAAATAAAATAAAATAAAAATAAAAATAGATATTTTGTGTTTGGATAATAAAAAATACTATAAAATATATACTTTATCAAGTGGACGGATGAAGTAGTAAAAATTACTTCCTCTGTCTCGTATTATTTGTCCCTATTTTTTATTTTCGTCTGTTTCACATAACTTGTCATTTTTTTAAATATAATTATACACTTTAAAGATATTTATTTATATTATTAAAAAAATTATTTAAAATATTTTTTTTATTTGTATTAAAGATGCAGTATTGTGTTCGTATTTACAATCAATATAAGTTTTAAACAAAAAGAATATTTAGTGTAAATTTTATATTAACACAAAGGAATTTCACGCAGTAAATAAAACACAGTGTTTTATGCATATTTACTAAAATAGTGTTATATAATTTAATTTTTTTTATATTTTTTTTCTATTGAAATTGTATTGTTTTCAAATATAAAATGGCAACAAAGTAGGCAGTTCTTGCGGGATTGTAACTAAGTGGTTAAGCATTTATCTACATGTTCCTCGATATATATATATATATATATATGTTCTTTTTTATTAAATAATATACTCTCTTCGTCCGATTTCAAAATATTTTTTTTATCATTTTTATTAATCTCACTTAAAATATTCATTTCTTATTTTTAAAAAGTAATTCTACGAATATATTATTACACACTTAAATTATAAATATATTATTACAAATGCTATTATTTTATACAAAGAATAAAAATATCAAAATTTTTTACACATTTTCACTAATTAATAAAATACTATTATTTTTTAATTTATTACATAATTCTAAATGACTCATTTGAAATGAACCGGAGTGAGCATTAAACTATTATTTAAATTAAATTTTAAACCTAAGAAAAAAAATCAAATGAAACAAAATCTACCACCGAAATAAATGGGCCTACAAATAGTGGGCCGAAAATTAATATCCGGCGTCACACAGTTCTCTAATTACTTATAATATTAAATGGGCTCAAAGCCCAATAAGAACTTTCACATATAAATGGGCCTCATTTTCTAACGGGAAATAAAAACATTATTTTATTGTATTTTTAAAGTTTTTATTATTCTTAAAATTTCAAACACAAAGACATCAAATGTGTAAATAATATATTATAATTTATAAAATTATTTTTCGCATTTAAATTAAATATTTGGATTGCGTGTGGGAAGTGAGTGATGAATATAAAAAATAAATAATTAAAGAAAAATGGAATGGGTTGTATTTATTAATGGCTACATTTCTGTTTTTTGGTTATAATATTATTTTTATTATAATAATTAAATAAATGGTGCCATGGTTTGGTCACTATCTTCTCTCTGCGGTTAGTGAACAACTCCAACTGACTCTGACCCAACCAATTTGCTCTACACAGTACTATATATATTCTCCCTCTCTCCAGATTTCGTGTTTGCTTCATTATAGATACGGTATTTTATAAGGGGTGTAATTAGTAGATAATTAAAAATATATTAGTGAAAATAATTATCCTATAATATAAATAATTATAAATTAAGATTAAAATAATTAATTAGTTTAATTAAAATTAAAAAATTTAAAATAAGATTAAAGTGTGTAATCATTTTTCAAAAAAGAAAAATGATATGGTACGTAAGACGGACAAAAACGGCAACATAGACATAGTATCTGGGACGGAGGGAGTATAATATATACTCACTCCATCCACTAAAATTAGCACAATTTGATCTGACACAAAAAATTAAAAAAAAAAAATTAGTTTATTAAAAATGTGATATATAGTTGAGAGTGTTTTTAAAAATTTAATTAAAAATTAAAGTAAATAAAAAAAAGATAATATAATAAAATTGGTGGTATTTGTTATAAATAACTGTTGAATAGAGGGTAATAATAAAATGCTGATTTTTTTATTTTGCCAAAATTAGTAATGAAATAAATTTAACGGACAGACTAAAAAGAAAAGTGAAAATAAATTTGGCTAATGGAGATAATATTTTTTAATATCACGTGATTGTCAATGTTTTACATAAATATTTTATTTTAATCTTTTTATTTAATACATATTGCGTTCCAAACGATGTGTCTTATTGGATGTTGGTACAAAGAATGAAGAATAACAATATTTAATTGAAAGTAGATATAAAATAGAATGTAAAAAATTAAAATATCTTTACTTTTTAAAAAAATTTTAAAAAATAAATTAGAGTAATAATTAAGAATAATTTAAAAAAATAAGAATAATATTATAATAAAATAGATATCACTGTTACTAAATAGTTAAACAAGACAATTATTTTGAAACGAAGGGAACTTCACGAGTTATTTTGGATAATACCGAAAATTAATAAAATTTTGAATTAAAGTTACTATTTAATATAATATTAGTATATATATATATATATATTGCTTCCTCCCTCGGATATTTTATCCGCGTTACCGTAGATAGGGGAATTTAGAAGGGGTATAATTAGTAAATAATTAAAAATATATTAGCAAAAATAATTATCGTATAATAAAAATAATTATAGATTAAGATTAAGATAATTTATTAGTATAATTAAAATTTAAAAAATTATAAATTAAATTTTTAAAAATAAGATTAAAATGTATAATTATTTTTCAAAAAAATAAAATGACAAAATAAATAGGACGAACAAAAATAAAAAAATAGACATGAGAAGCGGAACGGATGGAGTATAATGTATTAAATATACTCCCTCCGTCCCAGAAATAAGTATCCATTTGTTTTTTTGCATGTAGTTTTAGAAATATTAGTATTATATTATGATATAGTAGGAATAAAGTATAAATGACTAAAATAATCTTATTAGTATGTGTGATATAAAAGTAATGACATTTGTGTAATATATTGTAAGTTGTAAAAGTATTTGTAACGTTAGGTAGATAATACAGTTACTAAAAAAAAATTGATACTTTATTATGGGACGGACTAAAATAAAAAAATGGATACATGGAACGGATGAAGTAATATAAATAATAGTAATGTATAATATATATACTTTTAAAGTCAACATATTTATATTTATTTAAAAATATTTATTGGATTAGGATACATTAAATGCCAGTCTGACAGCTTCATTCAGATTCCTTCCGTGAATAGAACGGAACTATATTGGATTGTTTGGTTGGATTTTAGGGTGATTATATATGTTTAACTAAAATTAATAAATGCTATATTATATTTTATCTGTTTTAAAATAATAGTTTTATTTTATCATTTTATCTATTTCAAAATAATTTTTCAATTTTTATATTTGTTACTAATTCTCAATTTTTTAACAAAAATATTTATATTTTTTTCACAATAATTACATAAAATATAGACATTTGATATACTTTTTCATCAATTATCAATATAATATTATTATTTCTTAATTTATATGTTCATCCCAAATGTACATACTACCTCCGTCCCCACATACCGTGTCTGCTACACTATAGACACAGTATTTTAAGAGTATTATAATTAGTAAATAATTAAAAATGTATTAGTGAAAATAATTATTTTATAATATAAATAAATATAAATTAAGATTAATATAACTAATTAGTTTAATTAAAATTTTAAAAAAATAAAAAGTTTAAAATGAGATTAAAATTTGTAATCATTTTCCAAAAAAGGAAAGTTACATGGTATGTGAGACGGACAGAAACGGCAACGTGGACATGGTATATCGGACGGCGGGAGTAATATTTAGTTATGATATTATTTTATCCTTTTATTTTATTAATAATGTTGATATTTTTAAAAAATAAATTTAATAGGAGTATATATGATTTTAAAAATTATGATATATTTAAAATTTTTAAAAATTATATCGTAAGAAAAAATATATATACAATATTAATATTATTTTATATAAAGAATAATTTTATTATTATATAAATAAATAAAAAAAATAAGTTTATTTATTTATAATTAATATAAATTAATTTTATAAAATATATGGAGTTTTAAATGTATATAAAGATTTTGAGTAAATCCATAATGTAAAAATGTTATGTATTGTAGTTAATTAGTTGATTTATTTATGTAAAAATATTTTTTAAATGATTTTTTTGATATAAAAAAATAGCATCAGAGTTTGAACACATGATCTCACAGTCACAAGTTCATTCCTACACCACAAAGCAATCCCTTGTAGGACTAAATTATTTCGATTATTCAATTTTACGAAGAATTGCTTATCCAATAATAATTTTCTTGGACGTCATAATAATAATAATAATAATAATAATAATAATAATAATAATAAAACTATCTCCAATAATATTTTCTATTTTTGTAGAAATTATAGTATTATTCTCTATTTTTTAAGGTTAATTATAGTAACTCATCTCTAATTATACATATATTTTATTTTAAATTCTTTTTGTCTGATTTATATATATCAATTTATTTTTTATTCTTTGTAATATTAGATAAAATATAGGAGTATTTAATTATTAAAGTAAAAAACAAATTTATTGAAAAAACAAAATGAATACACTTTAATTGACAGATAAAAATAACAAAACAATTATATATAATTAAAATGAAAAATAGTATTTTAATTTGATATTTCAAAAGAATAAATAATGTATTTTAAGAAAAAAAATCATTTAATACAAGTAATAAAAATGAAACAAGTTAAACATATGAAATACCATTTCGTATAAAATCATCACAATTCCTGACACGTAATAAAAAAATAAAAATATATAAATACTCCCTCCGTCCTAGATAAGATAAACGCATTACCGTAGATACAAAAGTTTAGATAAAATATAATTAGTAAATAATTAAAAAATGTATTAGTAAAAATAATTATTATTTACTAAAAATAATTATAAATTAAGATTAAGATAATAAATAATTTAATTAAGATTAAAAAATTTAAATATTAAATTTTAAAATATAATTAAAGTGTATAATTAATTTTTTAGAAAATAAAAATAAATTATGTGGAATGAAAAAAAAAAAACTTATATGAGACAGACAAAAATATTAGTCAACTATAAACGCAAACCAACAATACTAAGTGCCTTGAACTTGTAAAATACCGTTAAGACTGAAAAATGGATAAAATAAAAAATTATTTTTATACTAAGAATACTAAAAAATTAAAAAGAAAATGATAAACCCAAAAATATAATTATATTATTATTATTACTACTTCGTTATGGATGTTTCTTTTAAAAAAATCACACATGTTCCCAATAGTATTAAAAGTTAATTATAAAATAAAATAGTGGTGTATTAGTAAGTTTTGATAAAATATTTGAGTTTTTTTTTTTTTTTATTTGAAGTTAATAATCCAATTATTTATTTTGCATTATTTTATTTTTATAAAATACTAAATTAAAATATTATTTCAATTAAAATTTTAATTACTATACAAATTTTAAATCAGATCAAACAAATAGAATATTTTACTCTATCCTACAGGTAATATGAGACTATTATTGTATAATAAAAATTATTATAAATTAAAATTAAAATAATTAAATAGTTTATTTAAGATTAAAATATTATAAAATATAAAACTTAAAATATTATTAAAATGTATAATTATATTTTAAAAAAAATAATGTGAACTAACGAAAATAAAAAATATAAACAAATTATGTGAAATCGAAAATATATTGTTTTTTTATTAAAAACTATTTTTAATATATAATTAAATACACATAAAAAATATAAAACAAACAGTGCCTTTTAAAAAAAAAAAAATTATTACAGCGTGCACATGGATTCAAGTATTAAAATAAATAATTAATTAAATATAATTAGGGATTTGGATAGGCGTGTGTTTTCATAAAAGCGTGCAATAGGAACACACGCGTAAGGTGTCGGCCAACCTTGTTTCTAGTCGTGCTTATCCATTTAAAATTACTCCCCACCATTATTTATTTTTCACAATTAATAATAATAATAATAATAATAATAATAATAATAATTTATTCAAATTTATTTTTTATTTCTTTTAATAAATAATAGTAATAGTTTATGATATATATCCAGTGGACTGGTCACAGTCTTTACATGAACCCTAAACGGAATTACGATACGACGCCGTTTCGCGAGCCCTTCAACTGAGTATAAATTAAGGCGCATGGAAACGGATGAACCGTTTGTTCTGCTATCGTGAGCCGCTCCCCTGGGATTCTCTCTTCCCTTTTTTTTTACCCAAATATCTTCAAAACCCTAATTCGAGCATGGCTTAACCCTACCACGAAATCGGCCGAGAAATTGAATCGACAGGAGCGCGAATTTCTTCGATCGAGAGTTTTAATGGAAGGCGGCTGCTGCACGACGTCGACGTCGTCGGCGACGGAGATTTCGAAGAGGAAGCCGAGGCAGCACCAGGAGAAGCCGTACAGAGGAATAAGGATGAGGAAGTGGGGGAAATGGGTGGCTGAGATTCGAGAGCCGAATAAGCGGTCCAGAATCTGGCTCGGCTCCTACTCCTCCCCCGTCGCGGCGGCGCGTGCCTACGACACCGCCTTGTTCTACCTCCGCGGCCGCTCCGCCCGCCTCAACTTCCCGGAGTGCATCGTCGAAGACCTCCTCGATCAGCAGCGCGACCTCTCCGCCGCCGCCATCCGTAAAAAGGCCACCGAGGTCGGCGCCATGGTCGACGCGCTCCAGAGCGGCGCCGCCGCCGCCCACTCGCGCCCCGGACCCGATAACCACCGGGTTCAAGTCAAACCCGATTTGAATGAGTACCCGAGCCCGGAAACTTCCGACGATAGTTAACCCGGTTCGATTGTATTATCATTATTATTATTTTATGTTTTTCTTAGAGTTTTGATCTTTCCTAAAAAAAAAAAAAAAAATGAAAATGAAAATTACGATAGTATTATATTTGCAGAGATGAATTGGGTAGTAAAACATTGCATTTTGTAATATAATCCAAAGGGATTATATATTATAAATATAGTATTATTTGTTTATTGTTAATTGTAAAATTAATGAATATTTATTTTAACTGTTTGATTGAAAATGGTTATGATAAAAGGATAAGGCTTAGTCCTAAGGTTTCAGTGGGCACACCATAAGTACATAAAATTCATATAAAAGAATAAAAATTAAATATTATTCAGACAGGAAAAAGATGGAACAATATAAAAAATAATTAGTGGTCCAGAGTTGTTCCATTATTACAAATATTATTTATTTATGATTATAAATAAATAAGGCAGCTAAAATTGCATGAAATGGTTTAATATGGACAAGTGCAATGTCTGTGAATCCGTGTGACGTTTGGGGGACCAATCATCATGGAGCAGGGCTGTGCCTGTTTGGCTATTAATATTTGACTTTATTAAAAAGGCTTCATACTTATAATATACTATTTAATCCTCCTACCGCCTCAATATAATAGTTTTATTTAATATTTTTATCTGTTTTAAAATAATAGTCTTATTTGCATAAATAATCATATTATTATACAATTGTTAATACCTTTTACACTAATATAGTTGCAAGGGAAAAAATGACTTTTACCTATATTTTTTACCCATTATCAATATAATATCAATATTTCTTAAATCTCGTGCTCAACACAACCAAGACTATAATTCCGGGACGGAGAAAGTAATATTTTATTAATTAAAAAATATAGTCCCTCCGTCCCGAAACTAAATATTCATTTGCTTTTTGCATGTAATTTTAGAAATATTAGTATTATATTAAAATATAGTAGAAATAAAATAGAAATGACTAAAATACCCTTATTAGTATGTGTGATATAAAGATAATGATATTTGTGTAATATATTGTAAGTTGTAAGGGTATTTGTAATGTTAGGTAGATATTACAATTACTAAAAAAAGGAAATAGGTACTTTGTTATGGGACAGACTAAAATGGAAAAATAGATACTTTGTTATGGGACGGAGGGAGTATATAAGATGATTTATATATATATATATTATTTTATCTGTATAAATTTATTATATATACCTATATTTTTAATTTATATAGTTAAAAAATATTTTAATATTTTTCAAATAATGGAAAATAGTAAAAGTGGTATTTTCAATATTGATAATAAGAAAATTAAAACAAAGTTAGAGCCAATTTTTTTTAATATAAGAATAGTTAGGATGTTGATTGTAGATTATCATAATAATACATATATAAGGTTATATAATATTGTATATATAATAGTATAAAAATAATACTTATATAATATATTAATTTAATTAATTTTTTTTAATTATGTCTCATTTTTTCACAAAGCAAAAATTATATATATAAAAAAATATATATAAATTTTTATTAAGAAAATGAAAATTTTATACTAAAATATTTGCAGGAAAGCCGTTAGAGGACAGCTTTATCCAACAGCACAGTGACTGACATAGATTGTCGTTTGTCCCAAATATGCTCTCCCCAAAATATATATCATTCAAATAAATATTTTTATTTATTAAAATACATTTTCATTTAAATATTAGCTATTCCCCATTTTTTGTCCATTTTAAGATAATTGGCCAACTTTATTACGCATAAAGTATTTAATATAATATTATTTTATTATTTTTATATAATTAATAATATTAATAATTTTAAAATAAATTTAATATATATGATTAAGAATATTAGAATATTTATTTGAATTATTTAAAAATTATATCTCGATAAAAATATATACAATATGGATATAAATTTGTAAAGAATAAAAATTTCTACCATAAGTAAATACTTTTTTTAAAAAAAAATTTAAAATTAACATAAATTAATTTTATAATAATGGAGTTTTAAATATTAATAAAAATATTTAATTTTGAGAAGAGAGATATAAATAAAGAGATTTGAGTTAGTCGTATATTCTCTCATTTCTAATACAATAGTCTTGTTTACCATTTTTGTTCGTTCCAAAACAATGGTCTTATTTTCATAAATAATCATATAACCATAAAACTATCATTATTTTTTCATTATTATTACACAATTGTCACTACTTTTTACATTAATACACTCACAATGGCAGAAAAGTTATTTATTTTTACTTTTTACCACCTACCAATATAATATCAATATTCTTTAAATCTCGTGTCCAATACAATAAGACTATACTTTTGGGACGAAGAGAGTATGATGTATGATGTTATATGTTATATAATTAATTATGTCGATTTTATTTTTGTTAAGCATGTTTTGATTTAATACGTTTTAATCAAAAGACAAATATGTCAATTGTTATGAGATAAAATAAAAAATAAAAAATATGTCAATTGATATTGGATAGATAAAAATAGTACATGTGTCATTTGTCTATTTCATACTATAATTTATTTTTTTAAATAAATAATTATACACTTTAATTGTATCTTAAATTTTAATTTATAATTTATAATTTATTAATTTAAAAATTTACTATTTTAATTTAAAATTTTATTATTTAAAAAACCACAACTAAACTATAACCAAAAAAATAAATACGATCCAAAAGTTCGATTCAAACTCGACATGAAAAATAAGAATTCGGACGTTAGGCCCAAAGTATTTTCGAACCGGGCTAGTCTAACATGGTTGAAATCTAATCCAAGCATAAAACGATTGATCAAATAAAATTTTAATTTAAATATTTAATAAAATAAAATAAAAATTATAAACTAATATTTAAATTTTTATTTGTCAATCAAAACTATATTTTTTAGTATAATAGTATCAATTTAATTTAATATGATCTATTTATTTTAATAAAACAGCAATACAAAACAGATCTAAAACAAAATAAATAATAAAAATAAAAAATTGGACTAGCCCAGCCTATCATGACTCTAAACTGGGCCCTGCTTGGGATTGGTTTTCAGGCCCAATTTAAAATCAGGCCGTGCCAGTCCAAAATCGTCACCTTTAAATTTATTTGTATATATCACATTATTTTATTTTATTTTTTAATTTTTCTTATCATTTTCAACTTCTCATATCTACTAATTTTAGAAAAATACATCATCAAATTTGAGAACACTTTGAAAGCAACAAATGGATTTAATAATTTTTAGGAAGGTTAAAATTTAAATTTAAACAAATTTTGTAGTAATATTAAGATTATTTAATTAATTTATTATTATTTTTATTTGTGATATGTTATGAAAAAATATTTATTTATTTATAGGTATTTTTTTATATTATCAAAATAAAAGTTTAAAAAGTTATGATAGTATTTAATTAACTAGTAATATAAAAAAATAATAAATGGTGTAAATTTCAAAATAATAAAAATAAATATGTAAGATGAATTATAGGGTCCATACTGATGTTTTTTGGATTTAATGAATAGTTTAGTAATTAGAGAAAATTAGGAATTGAGTGAAATGCTGATGTAACATTGATAAAAAGAAAAAAAAAAGAAATTGGTGAGATGGAAAAAATAATATATATATTTTATTAAAAAAAAAAAAACAGAAGCAAAAATACAATATAAACATTTATCCTTAACAAATCTATTATGAAATTGGGCTTTCTTTTAATGAGGGCTTTATGGGCCTAGCCCAATAGCATCAGCCCAATATTGTATTTTTTTAATTTTAAAAAATAAATAAAAATTATTTGTGTGATGTTGGACACTGAAATTGTGAAATTATGAATAATTGCAATTAATGGTATAGGCTTTTTGCAATGAGGTGACAGGTAATGGTGGAAAAAAAGAGAAAGGTGATATGGCTTTATGGGAAGAAGGTCAAATATGATATTTTCAATTTTCAATGTTCACATATTTTTGTTTTAATTAAATATTTGGAAGTGTTACCACCTCAAAAAGTTTTTTTTTTTTTTTTTTTTTTTAAGAAAAAATAAATTATAAAATCATGCAAGAATATCTATAATTAAAGTGGAAGCACCCAACAAACAAAAAGTAAAATGCCATTTTAACCCTAACAATAATAAAAAGTCTTCTTCCTATGGAAAAAAACACCCAAAAAGTAAAAAGAAATAATTGAGGGTCATATTTTTAGTGGTTGTTTGGACTGTCAACCATTTACAGAAATATAAATAAATTAATTAAATATAGGGGCCTTCTAACAACCTTTGCACCAACTTTTCCATACACGACATGACAATTATCATATATATTATAAAATTTTGTAGGATGATTTTTATTATATTTGTATCATTATATTTTTTACAATTAATCACTACAAATTAACAAATAAAGTTGAAAAAATACAAACTTCAACAACACCCAATATCTCCACTATATCTGACAACAGCGGGGTTAATTAACTAATTTACCCATACTCTATTGCAATATTACCGGTAAGTAAAACTGTTTAAAATAACGAATATTACACTAATAAGGATATTTACTCAATATTCTCAGTATAACTGACAACAGTGGAGTTAATTGACTAATTAACCCATACTCTACTACAATATATCAGTAAGTAGAACGATTTAAAATAACAAATATTACATTAATAAGATATTTACCCAATATTCTCAGTATAACTAACAACGGTGGGATTAATTGACTAATTTACCTATACTCCACTGCAATATTATCATTAAGTAGATCTGCTTAAAATAACAAATATTACACTAATAAGGACATTTACCCAATATCCTCAGTATAACCGACAACAGTGGGGTTAATTGACTAATTTACCCATACTCCACTGCAATATTACCAGTAGGTACAACTGTTTAAAATAACAAATATTACACTAATAAAGACATTTACGTAATAACAAATAGTCATCCGTACACCTTCTCATATATATATATATGTTCAAGGATATATAGGATATATATATTATAAAATTTTGTAGGATGATTTTTATTGTATGTATATTGTTGCTATAGTTTATTCATTCGTGTTTTTATTCCTTTTCCCCACT